TCCCTCTGGAGACCTCCACGCCGGCCCCGTCCTGCCCAGAACTTCTGGAACCATCTCCCCCTTCCGGGTCCTCCGAGACCTTCGGGCACCGGCCCGCCGCCAGGCGCTCTGAGGGAATCGCCTCTGGGGACGCGCTTCCGCCCCGAGGCCAAGCCAAACCTTCTAGAGGCCGCGCAAAGCCTGACGGGAGCCGCCCTTCCGTCCTTCCTGGGTGGGGTCTGGGCTCTGAGCCTGACCAGCCTCTCCTCACTCACCTGCGGCGGCTGCGCTCTCTACGGCCTGTGGGAGCCCGTCTTGAGGTCGAGTCCCTGAAGGTTACATAAGGTCTGGGCAGGACGCAGGGATGTGGGGGAAGGTTCCAGAAGATCTGGGCAGAACGCGGGCTGGGAGGGGGGATGGGAAGGTTCCAGAAGGTCCGGGCAGGACACGGGCCGGGAGCTGGGAGGGGAAGGTTCCAGAAGGTCTGGGCAGAACGCGGGCTGGGAGGGGGGAGGGTAAGGTTCCAGAAAGTCTGGGGAGAATGTGGGCTGGGAGGGGGGAGGGGAAGGTTCCAGAAGGTCTGGGCAGGACACAGGGATGGGGCAGATTCCAGAAGATCTGGGTAGGAGATGGGGGGGGAGGGGGACGGATGGGGGGGCAGGAAGGTGCCAAAAGGTCTGGGCAGGACGCAGGGTGGTGGGGGCAGTGCTGCAGGCTTGGACTGGGTCTTAGGTCAGTGTCTGAAGGTCCTAGGGTTTGGCCCTGCCCTCCTGGGCCCTGCCCTCCACTACCACCACCCATCAGTTCTGACCACATGGCATCCCTCCCCTGGGGTCCCATGGCCACTCCTACCCACCTAGCAACCCTTCCTGTGGGTGTCCCTTTCACCACCCCCTGTGCCATATAATATATGATGATATATGGCATATATTATAAACTTTCTGGGTACGGATGGCCTACTGAACCCACACAGCATCTTCACCACTGAAATCCCTGTCCCACCTGGACCCCACCTAGCATCCCCTCTGCTGAGTCCCAAGGCTCCCGGACTCATATACCCGTGCCTTGTAGATTCCAGGTTTATTTCAGTTAAGCCCCTAGGAAGATCAGGTATTTCCTGCTAAAAGCAATTCACAGATATGACACCCTGTTATCTTTCTGTTAGCCAACACCCTCAGTGGAGGACCAGCACAGAGATTTGACCAGGTCACCATTTTCCTTCCCTAACTAGTGGCCCCAACAGAGAGGAAAAATGAGTTTACAGGCTGCTGCTGAACTTTGCCTTCTACAACCTTTTGTAACCTCTGGAGCTAAAATTGGTGGTGGTGGGGAGCTCAAAATAATCCAGGGTCCAGAGTAATCCCCAGGATCTTTTTTCCAGAGATCTTTTCAGGTGATTTCTTTCCAGGTGGCACCGAATAAGGTTAGTTATCACACATTTCTTTGAGGGAAGTCATGCACGTGGTATTATCAGTGTAGCTACTCGCTGATTCATGATGGTTATATCAGTCTGAGACCCACCACACTGGATTTTCACATATGCCGGCAAATTCAAACTCCTCTGTGGCAAAACTGTAAATGTACCATGAGTTTCATTTCCAAAGAATATACACCTTTTGCCTGAATTGGGAGAAGAGGGCCTTCGCTAAGTTGTCCTCGATGCACCAGTTCTCCCGTCGGCTGCTTTTCTTCTTGCACAGTCTCTGCCGTGTCAGGGACAGCAGCAGTGCGAAGGGCCACCTGTTTTAATTCTCATTCATTTGATGATGCTTTGATTCCTTTTTCTATCCCCATAGAAGTCACTGTAGCTTGTAAGACTGTGACTAGCAATCCTAAAACATTCTAAATACCACCCCCACCCCATTTAACCTATACTCTGCAAAAGCCTTAGATTCCTACACTCAGGGTTATGCAATCAAATTCTGGACCTTCAGTCTTTAGCTGAGGAGGTGAATTCAGCCTCTTGTTGAAATATTTTCTGCTCTGTGTCACGATTCTCATAATGGATTGAATCTGGGCTAAATCACGTACAGCCCATTTTATTTTAATTAAAAAAAGTTTTTTTTGCCCATGCCACTCATCTCACGAGATCTTAGTTCCCCGACCAGGGGTTGAACCGGGCCCACGGCAGTGAATGCATGGAGTCCTAACCACTGGACCGCCAGGGAATTCTCTGTAGAGCACATTTTTAATCCCTGGCACTTTATATAAATTATTTGAAACAGTAAAGTTGAAAGAATTTACAGCAAATACAAGGATACCCACCACCTAAAGTCCACCCTTAACATTTGACTAGTTTTTCCACGCATCCATCCATCTCTCCAGCCATGCTTTAATTCATCTTATCTTTTGATTCATTTCCAAAGGGACTACAGGCATCAGCATTCTTTCCCCTACAAACTGTAGCAGTTTTGCCTTGCATGATTCATGCTTTATGTGTCTTATCTAAAAATTCTTTGACTAACTCAAGGTTGAAAAAATTGTTCCTGTTTCCTTCTAGAAGTCTTCCAGCTTTGTATTTAGATAAGTTTTATAGCTTATAGTTATACCTGTGATCCATTTCCAATGGATTTTTGTATATGATGTGAGGTAAGGGAAAAGTCACGTTTATGTTTTTGCTTTTCTTTTTTACAAGTTTTTTTTCATTTGGGGGCATATCTTTTGCATTTGGTTGCTCAAAGGTCCCAGCACCATTTGTCACAGAGGTGGCCCTTTCTTCATTGCATTATCTTGCTTGGCACTTTTGTCTAAAATCAATTAATCACACATGGGTAGGTCTGTTTCTTGACTCTTTAGTCCGTTCTGTTGATTGTATGTCTAAGCTTTCTGCAGCTGCAACCTCGCACTGTCTTGGTTACTGTAGCTTTTTTCTAACTACCATTCAAAATCCAGAACCATAAAATAAAAGATGGTGATAAAGCTCCTCTCCTGACCAAACTCCAGCCAGGCTCCTCTGGGCCTTTTATCAACTAAGCCTCAAGCTTGGCCTGTAAAGACTAGAGCAAACACTAACGTCGCTTCTAACAGCTGAAGGCCGCATCCCTAGGATGACCCAAATCCCCCCACCCCTGCCTTAAAGTACCTGCCTGAAGAACTGTGTTCCGGCGGCCACCTGAAGATGGGCCCCTTCTCCCAGCCTCCGTGGGAGGGCGGGAGCTTAACTTAGATAAGTGCCAGTTAGCAAACCCAAGTGGGTTTCACAGGGACCAACTGTGCCTTCCTGCTTTTGTGATTTTCACCTCCCTGACTCCACTGAGCCCCTCTCGCCACCTCCGTACTCCCTCACTCTCCCTTTGAAATGCCCAGTCACCCCTGTGCAAATCCAAGTGGAGTTCCCTTCACGCAGACTCTTCCCCACTGAAATAGAATGTTCCTGATCAAAATCCATCCTTACCACTTTAACTAGTGTCTGACTTTGTTTATCTTTGACCATGAAAAGCAAGCACTTCTGCTTGGCAAAAATACCAAGAACTGTATCAGATAGGAAAAAAGTTTTTTTGACTTTTTATGGCAGACAGTGGACTGCTGTCACAGTGCGTTTAGATCACAGACTTGAATAGAGAGCACAGAAAAAGGAATACACATATCTACCTGAATGCAAAAACTTGCTCAACGTCACTCATAATTAAAGAAATGCAAATTCATGCTACGGGATACTGTTTTTATCTACTGGATTGGTGAAAACCCAAAGGATGGATAAGAATGCATTCTTTTTTACGATACTGTGGGAACGGGCACTCACACTTCTCAAAGATGGGAAGAGAAAACTGATGTAGCTGCTGGGCAAGTGCATCTAGATTGCAAATACATTGAACCTGAGACTGTCAGTCGAATTTCTGGGAAACCGTCCTTCCGGTGTACCTGCACTTGTAAGAAGTAACATTACGGACAGCTGCAGCTCTATTTCTAGTACGACACGCTGTAAACAACACAAAGGCTCATCGAAGGAGGCTCTGTAAATACACTCTCTTACATCCAGGCCGTGGGTGCTCCGCCACTGTAAAAGAACAGAATTCCTGCGAAGGTGCTGCCAGTGCTAACAAAGGCACGTCTGCAGGAGAGGGCTGCGGGAAGAATGCAGGCAGGGAACGGCCACGCGCCACGCTGCTCTGGGGTCACGACGTGGGAGAAACCACAACGCGATCCCGTGCGGCCCGGGAAGCGACAGGGTGCGAGCACCAGGGGCACCCGGAGCAGCCTCGCCCCTAGCGCCAGGCGCCGCGTGCAGCGTGCGCGGCCCGCCCGCAGCGGGCAGGGCCCTGCAGAGTGGGAGGGGTGGTGGGTGTCCGTTCCCTCCGCGGGAGGGCCCTGCCGCCCCCAGACGCACGTCCAATGTCTCGCCTCCTTGACCCGCCACCCACCAGATAGCAGGGCGAAGGAGGGTGTGGAACTTGGGGAACATTCCAGAAGGAGCAGGAGAGGAGCGGGCAGGAGTGCACGGGGCACGTGAGGCCTGCAGGCTTGGTGAGAGGAGAGCCAGCCTCGGCATCAGGGGTGGCAAGGCCAGCCTGGGGTGGGCTGGGTGCTGCAGGGGTACCTGAGCCTTCCTGTGCCCTGGGGTCAGGATGCACTGGTGATGCCCTGGCCACAGATGGAGAGGGAGATGAAGATGGAGGGGGAAGGCCGGTGGTGCTGGGTGGGAGGGTGCCCCACGGGGGCTCCTGAGAGAGCAGGAGTTCAGATCTGCGGTGGGGGAAACCCGGTGCAGCCGTCAGGGAGCAGCAGCGGGCGCACCTGCCGAGCAGGTTTGCTGGGGCGTGGGTGAATGAATGCAGAGTTCCGGGGAGTGCTGACGTTCCTGGGGATAGAGGGGACTTAGTGGCGGTGACAGGCCACCCAGCACCGAGAGGCCACACCTGGCCCCAGGCCCATGGACGAGGAGGAGAGGGTCTGCCCCGGTGTCCAGCGGGGAAGGGCTCCGAATGATGGTGGACACACAGGGGCCAGATCTAAGCGCGGAGCCACAGGGCTGAGCACGTGGCCTGCTCGCTTCTCACGTTCAGGGCCGGACGTCCTCGGAGATGACCGTCCTCCTTGTCTGGCTGCTGGTCATGAGCCTGCCACGGGTGGAGACCAACATCACCGTGTCTGGAAGGCAAAGTAAGTTCCAGGCCCTCGGCCTCCTGGGCTGGGAGGAGGCGGTGGGCTGGAACGCCTGTGTGGACTCGGGGGAGGCCATCCCCGTTTGGACGGCGCCCTGGCCCCAGGTGGGTTTGGACAGTTGCAGCACAGAGGACTCAGTGGGCAAAAGAGCGTGAAGAGGGTGGTCGCCTAGTGGGGGAGCCTCTTGATGTGGAGCCCGCCGAGAGCAGGTCTGGAAGGCTGGTTTTATTCCCCAGCGCCCAGCTCTCCCTGCCATGGCCCTGCCTTCCTGGGGGAGGTCAGGCTGGAGGCCAAGCCTGGCGCAGCCGTCACTGGGCCTTCTGGGGCTGCCTTTGAGAACAGAGTGCTGCAGGAGTGTGACCAGCTTCTCCCCCAGCAGCAAGTCCCGCCGTGACGCAGAGCTGACAGTGGGCCGCCGCTCCGGGGTCTCGGGAGGGGAAGGGGGAGCCGGGTGCTGAAGGAGGTGGGGCGGGCCAGGAAGCGGGGTGGAAAGGGTGTGTGGGCGCAGACTCCAAAGCTGTGGCGTTTCTTTTTCCAGAGAAGTCAGAGTTGAGACGCCAGTGCTGTGCGTGGATGGGGCACGTCCCTGGGGCTGGGCGGGGTGGGGGGAGGTGAGCCTTGGGTGTTGCCATATGAAGGTGGGAGCTTGCGTGTGTCTGGGGCGAGTGTCTGTGCGTGTCGGGTTCGTGCGGTGGGTCTTGGTGTGGAGGTGTGAGACAGACACACCCTGTGCGTGGACGAGGGAAGCCTGGAGAGCAGAGAAGGAGCTCCGGGCATGGGGCGGGCTGTGGGGAGCTGGGAAGGCAGCGGGAGCCCAGGCTGTTCCCATTTGGAGGAAGGAGAGTGTGGGGCGTGTTGGTCTGGCAGGAGCTGAGAGCTGCCACATCCGTTTTCTTTTCACTCCTCGTTTCAGACGCACTGCGGTGTCACGTTTGCGAGAAGGAGAACAGTTTCGATTGTGAAAGACCGACAGACTGTACAGCCGGCGAGCCGTACTGTACCGCTGTCGCCGTGAGTAAGTCTCTCAGTCAGCACTGGGCTTCCACAGGCGGGTCAGCAGGATCCTTTCAGGATTTAGGGCCTGTCTCGTTTTCCTCGACAGAGGATAACTAATCTGAAAGGGACGCTTTTTTTACATTTGAAGAGCGAAGTCCTGTGAAGCCAGGAGGGCAGGTGGGCCACGGAGAACCAGCTCCTGGAAGTCACAGCAGGGCCGATGCAGGGCGCCGCGCGTCGCCGCCGGCCGGGTGAAGCAAGGAGCGCAGAGGGAGAAAGCAACGGAGACTCTTCTCATTCACTTCGAAGTGAAAACTTAAGCGTTAAGGACCTCAGGTGTCCCACCGAGGGTAGCTGTTACAAGAGATGTACATAATTAGGGGCGTGGGCTTAAAATATGTTCTGAAAGGAGTGTGCATGCCTTAAAACGTCTGGACACCACTGCCGGGTCATCTGTAATTCGCCTGAGGACTCCTGGCTGCGCGAAGAGCTCTCTCCCGAGGGCGAGTCTGAAGGCCCCAGCATGACCCAGCAGTGGCTTCCTCAGGGCTGGAGAATTCACTTTCCGTTCGTCAGCCGCTTCTGGAGGCTTCCATGTTCCAGGAGGTGTGCGGGGTGCTGAGTGGGTCGAGGTGTAAGCCCCGCTGCAGCCCCACGTGGACCTGATAACTTAGTGTGGAAAGATGACTGCACGGAGAAATATGAGATGAGGTGAAGTCGGAAGACTGGCCCTGCCACCCCGTGCTGAGCTGTGCCCTCGCAGCAGGCTCACTGTCACAGCACTCGCACCCAGGCCCTGGGCAGCGGCTCCTCAGGAGGCCAGCCCCAAGCTCCGGGCAGTGGCTGGAATGGCCGGGAGCCCCTTGCGCTCCTGTGTCTGTCCGCGGTCACAAAGACCTGAGCGCCCCTGCGTTTGAGAAGTTGAGGCCTAAGGAGCCTGTACGTTCGCAGACGGAGACTGCCAGGCCCAGGTTCCCGGTGCGCGCGGCCAGGCCAAGGCTGGGGCATCCGATGCCACGCCCCCTCCCAGGAGCAAATCTGAGCACAAAGGCCTGATCGTCTTCCCCTGTGCCGATGGCTCCTGACCCCCCACCAGGTGCCCTCTGAGCGGGGCTTCCAAGAGGCGGCACCGGAAGGGTCAGGGTTGGGCAGATTTCAGACAGAAATGGTGTTGGTGTCGTTTTCAACTCACGTGACTCCTTTCTGTCTCTGTCCTTATTTCCCATTAGGAATATTTCCACGGTTCTTCTATGTTTCCAAGCAGTGCGTAAAGTACTGTGGGACAATCAGTCCACCTCCACAGATGGCCAAGTCGTTCGTGCTCATAAAGCCCACGCCCTTCCTGTTCATGGCGTGCTGTAAGCAGGACCTGTGCAACAACCAGAAACCAATCATCAAAGAAAACATAGAAGATAGATACAAAGAGGGGGGCGGGGAGGACATCAGCAGAGGCAGCAGTGCGGGGCTGGTGACTTTCCTGACACTGGCCTCTGGGCTCCTGGGCCTCAGGCTGCCGTGATGAAGCCGGCTGGCTGCACACGGTTGGAACCTGTTGCATTAAACTTGTTTTCCATTGATTAGCTCACTGGTGGTCTGACTTTCCAGGGACCTCGAAATGGGGAAGGAGTGGGGAGATCGAATCTATTTGGCTCTAGCCGGCAGGTCAGCAGGTCAAATTAGAGCAAGGCCAAACCTTCCCCATAGCGATTTTGTCTACAAGTTGTTTCTCTCTGAAATCAAGACTTGTAACTCTGTTTATTGCTGACAACCACTCTTGACTCCCCTTCACCTTGGAGGGCCTCAGTATTGTTGGAAGTGAGGGCCTGAGGCCCACCCACGAAGAGTAGTGCTCAGATGCTTCTGACCTTTGGGGGGGCCCAGGATCAGTGGGGGAGACACAATGATTTGGGCGTAAGACATCCCTGAAGCGAAAGAAATACTGCTCAGCGTGGGGAGTGGGACATGGTCCTGGGAACAGCCCTCTTCTGACGGGGGAGGTCCCATGGCTGCCCTCCTTCAGCTCTTGCTACCAGCTTCCAGGAGACAGAAAACAAGGAATTCTGCTGAATAAGCATGGACTTCACCCACCAACTGGCACAGGTGGGTGGACTCACAAATTCTTTCACATGCATTTGTCCAGCATCTGAAACTTGAGCAGGTAGACAGCAGCAGGGTCAGCCTTTTTTCAGTTTTCAGTTGAGATGCAGCTGTCCAAAGACAGCTGAAAAGTCAGAGTCACAGGGCTTCCCTGGTGGCGCAGGGGTTGAGAGTCCGCCTGCCGATGCAGGGGACGCGGGTTCGTGCCCCGGTCCGGGAAGATCCCACATGCCGCGGGGCGGTTAGGCCCGTGAGCCACGGCCGCTGGGCCTGCGCGTCCAGAGCCTGTGCTCCGCAGCAGGAGAGACCACAGCAGTGAGAGGCCCGTGTACCGCAAAAAAAAAAAAAAGCCGGTGTGGTGCAAGTGACAGAAAACCCCAAACCATGGTGACCTCAGCAAGGGCAGAAAGTGTTTCTTTCTGGCTCACGTACACGAAGCGCAGCGCTCAGCAGCCCAGAGCGGCACGGCGTGGCGGGGAAGCACACGCTCCGCCTTGCCGAGCGCTGCTGCAGCTCGGGGCACACGCTACGGGGAGGGGAGTGTGTGGGCCGCAAAAGCAGCATCTCTTTCAAAGTGACAAGTTCTCCAAAATATATATGCGTGCCCAAGTTGTCACCTGTACGTAGGCTTTAAAAACCAAGAAAACTGAGAATGTGAGGGTCCACTTTGAGTGTAGGAAGCAGTCTTCTAGGGAGAACAGGTATCTCAGGCGCTCTGAGCTGCCAGTCCCTTGGACGGTTGGACTCAACGGGCCACGTGAAGACACGCAGAGGAGCTAGGGACTGTAGCCTTCAAACGTTGCTCCTCAACCACAGCAAAGGCCCCCACCCCCTCCTGATACATACGGAGCAAATCACAAGGTGCTGGACACAGGGTCGCCAAAGCCTGTGTGCACCTTTGAACAAGCACGTCCACCTTCTGACACATCATCCTCTGTCTCAAGCACTTGGAACGCTCCTACCAACTCACTCCCTTCATAGGCCAAGCGCAGAACCGATACTGCCACAAAACAAAAACAGCACAAGAAAGGAGCACTAGAGGCCCACGCACCTGTGGACTAAAAACAAAAACTGGCTAATTGGCTGTATTAAAATAATAACAGGTTACGAGCAAGTACAATTTGCTCCAGAAACGTTAAGAATGAGTCAGCCGTAGAAAAAGATGTCAACCAAGGAGATAAAGGATAATAACCAGAGGATCATCAACATTCACTTATATGACTTTTTAAAAATCCTGGATCACTAGGAACAGGAAAAAATGTCAGTAATTTACTAAAAGTCACCCACCAGAAACCTAAAACAAACACCATACTTAGTGGTGAAGCATTCCAAGTGCTCCCATGTAACCCAAGAACGTAACGTGCACACACACTGTCCCGGCTACAGTCAGATGCTCAAGTGGAGGCTTAGACATGTCACAAAGGAAGGAGAATAAAGGAATGACTATAGAAATGCTTTCCCCCAGCAACAAGTCTAACTGGTCAGCTAAAAACCCTCCTATTACAAAACGCTTAAAAATGTTGCATGAAAAAACATTCTAAATACTTTTCAACTGTATGCCAAGCTAATGTGAACATTTCAGAAGAGGAAGAAAGGAAAGAAGAGAGGGAGGGAGGGCGAAAGGGAGGCAGGGAGAAAGGAAGGAAGGGAAAAGAAAAGAAAAAAGAAAAGAAAAGGAAACAATCTTGACAGTATGTGGACAGCAAGTAGTGAAGCTGGCAGCTGCCTTCAGGACACTTGCTTCTTTCCAGTCACCTAGAGCCACAGGTTGGGTGGCAGACAAGGCACTGGTCTCCATGAGAGAGGAAGTGAAGGTAAAAAACAGAAATGAGGAGCTTCAGAAGGGATATGCCCTAAATTAAATACTAAACTAGAAAAAAAGATACTCTCTGCACAAGGAAGCTTGTCTGTGTCAGTAGTGGCTCTACATGGAGAAAAACACATGAAGAGAAGTTTTTACTGAGAATCAGAAACTCTCATATGACCTTGCGGCTTGTATTTCCACTACTGGTTTATTCCAATAAACCTCAAGCCACGAAATAAGTGTTAAGTGGCAATGATGGGTTTCACCCTGTAGATACCTAGAAGAACAAAGGAAAATCCTCTCTGAAGGAATATCTGCTCAACTCAGAAGTCAGAGTCCCAAAGGTATTATCTCAATAAATATCTGCTAAAAAATAAAAAATCACAAAAGACACAAGAAAACAAGAAACAATGAGTAAGCAGAAGTAGACCACCAAAGGTTTCAAACTTTGGAAATCATAGATATGTAATACAAAATAAATTTGCTTTAAGAACTAAAAGAGCGTAGAAAACATGAGGAAAGAACGAGATACCATCAAAAAATATTAGGCAAAAAAATAAAGGAAACTGCTGGAAGCAAATGATGTAATCTTTGAATATAAAAACTTAAGGGAGATGGTGGTGGGATGAATTGGGAGATTGGGATTGACATGTATACACTAATATGTATCAAATAGATAACTAATAAGAACGTGCTGCATAAAAAAATAAAATTCAAAAATAAAGACTTAAGGGAGAAATTAAATAACAGATTACACATAGATGAAGAGAGAACAATAAACTGGAATTTGAGCTGAACAAATGATTCCACTGCAACCTAGAGATTAAAAGAAATGGAAAACACAGAGAAGAAACTAGAAGACATGAAGAACAGAAGGAGAGAGGCTAATACAGAAACAAGCAGAATCCCAGAAGAAGAGAACACAGAAAATGGAGTACAGGCAATGTTCAAAGAAAAGAGCAATAGATGATTTTCCAAAAGTGATGAAAGACATGAATACTCAGGTCAAGCAATCACAACAGACCTGTACTGAGACACACTCAGAGTAAAACATCCAGATTTCAAACCAAGAGAAAATCCTAAAAGCTGCCAGAGAGAAAAGACACGTCTCGGAGGCAACAGCAGTTACACCCTATGCAGACCTCAGCTCAACATGGGAGACAGAGGACAAGGCAGTGATCTTGGACTCGCAGCCTACACAACTGTGAGAAATAAGTGTCTGCTGTTTAAGCCCCCCAGTCTACGATGTTTTGTTGTAGCAGCCTGAGCAGACTAAGACATGTGGATAAAGCAAAACAAACACTGACTAGAGAGCACAAAAATAATAATTTTTTATTTGGGAGGTTAAAGAAAATAAGACAATATGGGATACAAACAGCATGAAAAGGCAGGAGGAATGTGCTTAATGATGAAGTGTTCTCTGGTTTCTACATGGTTCACAGAGAGGTTAGAGATGCTATAGGCATAAAGGGTCAATGCCAAAGGGTCATAGAAATGGCGTTTGTTACCTTCTGCATAGGTACAGAAAAAAGAAGTCACAGTTGAGAAAAAATGGATAGAAAAAATTAAAAGTACTACATAACTGATGACAGAAATACATCTGCCTGCCTTAGCAACCACAATAAATAAGATCACCAGCTCAGAGACAGATTATTAGATTGAAGTTTTTGTTTTCATCCAGAAAAAGACTCAAAACAAAAGACCACAGAAAAATTCATCATAAAAGATGGAAGAGGGCTTCCCTGGTGGCGCAGTGGTTGAGAGTCCGCCTGCCGATGCAGGGCACACGGGTTCGTGCCCCGGTCCGGGAGGATCCCACATGCCCCGGAGCGGCTAGGCCCGTGAGCCATGGCCGCTGAGCCTGCGCGTCCAGAGCCTGTGCTCCACAACGGGAGAGGCCACAACAGTGAGAGGCCCGCGTACCGCAAAAAAGAGATACAAATTACTGTTTATAAAATAGATGAGCAACAAGGATATCTTGTACAGTACAGGGATATATAGCCTTTTTTAAAATTTTTATTTATTTTATTTATGGCTGTGTTGGGTCTTCATTTCTGTGTGAGGGCTTTCTCTAGTTGCGGCGAGCGGGGGTCACTCTTCTTTGCGGTGCGCGGGCCTCTCACTATCGCGGCTTCTCTTGTTGCGGAGCACAGGCTCCAGACGCGCAGGCTCAGTAGTCATGGCTCACGGGCCCAGTTGCTCTGCGGCATGTGGGACCTTCCCAGACCAGGGCTCGAACCCGTGTCCCCTGCATTGGCAGGCAGACTCTCAACTGCTGCACCACCAGGGAAGCCCCTAGCCTTTTAAAAATAACTCTAAATGGAGTATAATCTATAAAAACATTGAAACTATGTTGTATACCTGAAACTAATATAACATTATAAATCAACTATACTTCAATTACAAAATAAAATAAAAGCCAAACAAATTATGTCATGATTGGAACTGAAAGTACTGATACATCTCTAAAATACACTGAAATATTTTTTACAACATATTTATCTTAATGAGAGTTTATTAAATATTATGGATTTATTAATATAATAAACAGGTACTAAATAGGTAACATATCTTCACCTGGAAAAAAAAAAAAAAAAAAAAAAAAAAAAAAGATGGAA